GCTGGAAATATCTTCGGAGATCCTTTATCGGCGACTTCTTCAATGTACCCTGGTGGACGCGCAGCACCTTGACATGCTCGAGCGGCAAGTTTTCATACCAGACCGAGGGGTGACAAGAGAATTCGTAAGGGATGTGAGGTGTGTAAACGTGAAGGCTGCTTGCTGAAGAGTCATGAGCTCCAGGTGTAAAACCATTCGCTCCGACGAAAGGCCAGAATGCACAGTGGACGTCGTCAATGAAGCTAACTTGCGCGCAGAGAAACTGCACAGTCCTGTTCGCCGTAAGGGAGCGGGTCATCAGGTCAATGGCCTCAAACAGTTGCCCTCCGCGTAAATCGTCAGAGTCGTTGTGGATATGAAGAGCGACGTGTTGGCTGAAGCTTAAGTGAGCGAGGAGGTGAGCGCTGCCGAGAGTAGAGAACGCTCTGATGTACAAGTTTTTCAGGTACGGGAGCCTTGCGACGGAGTCCCCCTCCCGCTGTATCCTCTGGTCTCCGCATTCATGCTCAATACACATTGTCATGCTCAGGTAACGAAACTTGAGGTTTTCCAACAACGGCGCATCGATGAGGAATTTCACCAAGTCGCTGCAGTATGACATCGGAGAGCAAAGCTCCAGCGAGGTAAGCTGCTTGCAAAGGCCAGGAACACGGTGGAGGTGATAGGACACCAGAGCAAGACGATGAAGCCTTGGAAACCTGCCTACAACGAGCACATTGCGAGCGTCTGTCTCGGTCATCCATCCAGCATTTTGAATATCGAGGGACTCTAGGAATGGCGCGTCTGTCTGTAACGCCTCCAACGCCGCCCGGAAGAACTCAGTGGTGCGAGAATGGAGCCTGATGGACGTGGCGTCTCCGACATGGGCCAGCTTAATTTGTACAGCCTGCAGTATGCGGCGGCGGAGGTCTGCCGACGTGGCGCGGTCGTACACGGGCCTAGCGATATTCTGATTCACATTGTGAGTGTCGATATCGAGCTCGAGGCCGACGCGTTTGTTTCGGTGCAGCGCCGTCTCCAGGAATTCGAGATGGCAACTGCTGGGCTTGCACCATAACAGCGGATATCCCAGGGCCACCTCGCGCCAGTACCGACACACATGGGTGAGAGGTACTATCGTGTTGCTATAGTCGTCACCAAGGGCGTGCAGGAAGACATTGCCAAGGATCTCTGGGACCAGTCGATTCACCAGACATTCATCCCGTACATCCGATGTGGTGAGTTGACGTTTGTCCGTCATGCCATCCGTATCCCTGAAGAAAATAGGCCACACATCAGGTCAGACGACGCACTGGAAGCAGTGGACTGATACTTACAATGGTAAGACAACCCAAGAGCCGTCGATCTTCCTCAGCTGAAGCATTTTTAGCGTTGTAGATGAAGCGCGAGATTGTTGCAGTGGTCGCATAGCGGTGCCCAAGTCGTGGTTGAAGGAAAGGTTGGTGTGGCGAAATGTGGCAGGGCAGCGCACTTGAACTTCAGCGCGCGTGACCTTCCCACGCGTGGATCTCGTGCTGAGCACCGCCCTCCGGTGGCTCGCACCAGCATACATGTAGGCGTTGTTTATTCATAAAATCAGTCCGGTGCCTGTCGAGAAGCGCGACGCCTATGAGGCTTGAACAGCTGAAAACGAAACTGAAGGGAGCATTCCTCGCACGCTTCCAACTGTCTGGTAGGACAAAGTCGTTGCTCATAAGTTGTTTCATAACGTACAACAGACGATAGTCAATACAGCAATGCACTACATACTAGAACTACACGTTCACTTCAACAGAGTCCGCGGGAACAAGAATTAAATCATTCACAAGTCCTTTAAATGTCGCATCAACGTCGACACCCGGGAACGCCTCCACCCAAGCACCCAACTCCTCCAAACGCCACCGGCGGTCATGTCGCTCACGGAGATATTCCTGCAGCATCTTGACAAGGCTGCGCACCTCCCTCTGCTTCTGCTTCTCGCCTACGCCCAGGCGGTCCCGGCGCGGACGGATCTTCATACCCTCCAAGCAGGGGAACAGGCACGGGTGCCAGTCCTCTTGCTCGGCGCGCTGGTGCGTCGCCAGCATTGGCACGATGCGCAGCGCAATGT